AGGGGGAGATGAAGATGTGCCTTGGCCAGCGAATCAGCATTGGACATAGGCCAGAGTTGACGTTGCTTTTTGCTCCGTTGCAATTTCTCTTTTGGAGCAGAATTTCGCCATGCTGCTTGGGCATGACATTGAAATCAAATCATCGTGGTGCTCTGTTCCCGTCTGATGGAGCCTGCCATGTCGTGCTGAGCAGCTGGAATACATAACTCTTTCTGATTAGATGCGCACAGCCAGGGCCATTTCTGTGGAGTTGTTTCTCGAAGGCGGAGGATTTCAGAATAGACGGCGTCTGTGGACCGTTTCTGCGCTACGCAGCATCTCAGGCAGTCGGAACCAGCGGGTAGCGGGCGGGTAACGGACCAATGGCTCCAAGCGACACGAAAATAGCTGACCTGGCCGGGTCGTCGTCAGTGGCGCTGAGTTGGTTGCCCCGGGGTTAATCGGCAGCAACTCAATGGCGGCTTCGTAGTGAAAGAACAAAGCTTGACCAGAGACCCCAAACACAAAACACACAAAGAAGAAAGAGGAACAAGCAAAGGGGATCAGAGACAACGAGTAAGGCAGGTAGCGCGGGATGTGTGGAGATGGGGAGGGATGTGAAGCGGGAGTGGACACGACTCAAGGCGAGGTCAGGCCAGGCGAGGCGAGGCGAAGCGATGCGATGCGTGTCGGGTGAGCGCATCGAGAAGTCGAGGGAGGTCCCAGATCCAGATCTTGCTGAGATTGTGATTCACCTTGCACTTGCATAGGCAGGGCCCAAAGCTCGGGGCTCAGCAGACGCAATCCTGATGGTGCCAGGCTGGAGGTTATCGAGGCCTGGTTTCTGAGAGTCTGCGAGGGTGTGTGGCAGCTCCTTTGAAGTTGTGCATCCTCATTTCTTCAGCTCGCAATGCAATGGATGGCTGACGTTGGCGGCTTGTGTAGGTACGCTGAAGTTGGAGTAGCCGTTGCCGAAGCCGTTGCTGCGTTGCACGCTCCTCTGGAGATAAGGTAAGCAAGTTGGAGGAGAGACAGACGTTGTCTGGCCGGGATGATGAGGGTGTCAAAGTGTCAATCAAAGTGGTTTTTGGTGGTGGTGTGTGTGTGTGTATGTGCGCTGTGTGGGAGGTGATGCGAAGAAGGAAGAGGAGGCTGGGGAGAAGGAGGAAGAGGAGAAGGAACCTGGAGCCGAGGTAGTACGTACCGATTTGTGCAGCTTCCCCTGACCAGTGACGGGAGTTGATCATAATTCCCACAAAATCGGGAAAAAGGGAACGTGCTCAAGCAGACATCGGCCCCACTATGTACGTACTCCACGCCCATCCTCAGATGCAGCCCCACTTTCAACCGATGTATATCACCTTATGTCAGCAGGCGCAGCTGAGTAAGGGGGCATGGGGGATATTGGTGGGGGAGGGAAGAACGAGGGAGGCACCTTCGTTACTTCGTACCTACCTCGCGCGAATCTCCCCGTATCATCCTTTCCTTTCCTTTGATTTCCTCCCTCCCAATCGTGAACCACCACCACCACCACCAACACACCTACCTTCAACATCATCTCATCTTTCACCCCTCGAGGCGCAACCGTAACAACACCCACCCTCACTGCCCTGCCCTACGAATACTTTCTCTGTCTTCCTTCCCCCTGGCTAGTTGGCTATCTTGGATGCTACCCTAGTGCCTCCTCCCGCTCTCCCACACTATCTGCAACCACAAATGAAGGATCGTCGCACCCGCAGCTTGATCGTTCACCGTTTAAACCATCACCGAACCTTGCAGCACTAGCGCCGCCATTGTCGACCGAAATCGCCCTGTTGCTTGGCGCAAATACGCATCTAGTGGCCCCTTTGCTGTGCTACTCAAGCTACTGCTGCCGTTGCGGCGCCGCCAACTCATCAGTCTCCTCTTCCACTGCTCATGGCATTGCATTGGATTCCAATTACGATGTGCACCGCCTGTCATCCATGACAGCGACATCTTATCCCCCGTCACCCAACTTTGTTATTGTTGTTCTTCTTTCTTCGAATTAGAAACCGAATCAGAAGCCGGCCTGTCTCTCGCTTCTCGGCCATTCGGTGCAGCCTCCGCATATCTATGCCGAACCTGAAATGCCATGCTGACGAGAGTTTCAATAATCCAACTTGGCTATCGTTTGGTGCACCCTGGCTATGCCTTGCTGCCGTGCCCTGATGCCAGCCTTGGTCTGTCAGGGCAACGACTTACGTATTCAGTGCAGTGCAGTGCAGTCGTATGCACCATGGCCCAAGAGTGCCGTGCCGCCGTGGTCTGGTCTTTGCTACCTCGCCTGGATACCGACCAGCGACTCTTGCAGCTGCGTTGCGTTTTGCCGCCGCATTGCCTGAGCCCCAAACCCACCCAGCAGCAAGAGAGTCTGATACTGAGCATGCGCCTGCGTCTACGACCTTACTCACATTTGCGCCAGCGCCAGCGCGTGTGTCGGTTTTTGCGCCGCCCCCAAAGGAGCATGATATCGATGTAGTTGTGGATGCGCGATGCGCGATGCGCAGGCCACTTTTCGGCTCCAACGGCCGATTTCGACAAAACACACGTCTGTTTAGTGCTGTCAAATGACCGTTTTAGGAAATCCCAGCGCCATTCCCGTTGGTGGAGGTCGCCTCAGGGAAGGCGGACAAGGTATCCCACCCACACTCCCATCTCCCCGAATCAGAGACACACAGGCTCAGCCCAGCCTCCTACACGAACCGTGACGACATGCCTCCCGTCTTTACCTTTGTCTGGGATACCACTGCCATGCCGTTTGGCACAGGCCAGAAGACTCGCAGAAACAGATGGCACGAGCCAATGGCCTCTCGACAACCGTCGATCTGCTCCGTGCCTTGAAACCCGGCACCGCACCCGCAATCTACACACTGAGCACATCTTGGACAGAGTCATCCCGGCCAACCCGCGCTTTCGGAAATCCATGCTCGGCCGGGTTTGGCTCTGATTTCGGCTCTGGCTCTGGCTCTAACTCTGGGTCTGGCCAGAGATGGACAGCACACTGACACGACGTTGACTGACGACAACACAACTCACTCTCATGGTCTCCCCCAGTTCCTCGAGTTGGCCTGCCGTGGCCCCTGTGCCCTTGAAAGACTGTCGAGATTTCTTGGCTTCCTTGCTTCCTTAACCTTGCTTTTCGTACTCGTTCGGTCGGCAGCGATCATCTCTCTCCACCCATCCACAGGCCCTCAGTTAACCTTCTCTGACATTGTCTCTCCCCGTCCAACTCAACTCCCACACATGCCCGTTTGTCTCTCTTTCTCTTTCGCTTTCTCTAACCATTCCCAGCTCACGAGTGACGGGCCGGCTGTTCCATCACCACTTCTCCTCTCCTCGTCATGTCACGCTCCTGTGGTATATGCGTTCCATCCTATGTCGTAAACTGCCCACAACAGACCTCTCTCTGTCTGTAAGGCTTCCCACCCACTCAGCCAAGTCCTTCGGGATCATCTCAATTCTGTCTGTGCCCTGGCATTTGTTTGATTTCTCACCCCCTCCTCCCACCCAATCCCACTCCCACGTACCCTCTCGCCGTAAGACTCCCCGCTCCCCGACCGCTCCCTCCCACCCCATTCTAAGCCAAGCCCCATCGCCGTCCTTTCTCCTCCCCGTCGCCGCCGCCGCGGCGCCGCTGCCCCTGTCAAACGTAAAGCTTACTGAACTGGGTTAAACAGTACGAACGCCCTACTCAGGTACCTCACGCCGTCTCCTCGCCGGGCTTGGCCGTTTATTGTTTAGTTCACCTGGCTAGTGTGTAGGTCCAAGGTACGCGCGATACGAAAGCTCGTGGCCCGCACCGTAACCTAGCCAGCGTTTATGTACACATACGCATTCACAGATCCCTCTTGAATCCCATAGCACACACTACTGTACCTCAATATGCAAGCAGGTACCTTGCGTGCCTCCGTCCACCTCACCACTCGCCGCAGTGGTCGCTTTTTGTGCTGCCACTCTTCTGCCCAGCCTGGCCAAAGAGCTCAGTCTGCGCCAGCCACCAGGCCGTTGACTTGCATTCCCCACTCTCATCATTGCTATCTTCAGCCATGCTTCCAAGACCGGTTCCATCGCGGCTGAACGTATGTCGGTGCCGTTTCTCCCTCCCCTCCCCTCCCCTCCCCTCCCCTCCCCTACCAAAGTGCCAGCCAGTCCCTACACCTAAACGCCCAGGGCCAGCCATGCCGGGCTATCATGTAGCCTTGTACTATGTACCCCTGCCCAAGGATCCATGTTGCACATCTCCATGTGCTCCAAGTGTCTTGCCTCCAACGACTGTGCGTACTCAGTCTGCTTTTCGTCCTGAAGCAGGCACCGCCTCGGCCTCCCAAGATCCCATCGCCGTCACCCACACTATTACCGACCCTGACCATCCAAGCTATTCCCACTCTGCTGGGTAGCTGATGCCATGCCCAGACCGCTTCCGTATTCGCCGAGCTGACGGGTCCTATGCAACCCCTGTCGCTGCGCCCGGCCCTGGTCCATACATCGTTCCTTTGGGTCCTCGACTTGCTTCTGTGATATATTTGAAAACCGTCCACCCGTCCTGCATTTTTGTTGTCGGATCCTGAAGGAACTCTGCTTTCGTATCACTTGTTCGAATTTCTCACACATTCGGTGGCAACAATATCTTGGATGCAAGTTCGTCCAGAAACCTAATCAGCATCGTCACACTCGAGCATTGCCTTACCGGAACCTTACACCTTGGACCATTCCACCGGGCCATTCTTATTCAGCCCTTACCTTCTCTCCTGCTTCTTCAAATCTTCTCATCTGCATCTTCACCCAAACACCAGCCCAATCTTCGGCACTTCGATCGAGCTCATACCCAAACGTGCGCATCATCCCGAGTCCTACTCTCAACGATCCGTTCACACACTTCAACCACCGCAATCTGAGCGCTCTCAAGATACCCTGCCATCTGTTTGCAGCTTGATGATATCCTTCGTATAACTCTTCGACTCTCAATCGCCTCTTGCGACTGTCCAGACACACCTGTGACAATGGTTTTCTGCGCGTACTGCGGGAAGTCCTTCACCAGGAAGGAGCACCTGGAGAGACACATCCCTAGCCGTACGTCGTTACTCCCGCTTCCACACCACGGAAGCAACACAGGCTGACCTCACTTTCCCAGACACCAATGTCAAGCCTCATCGCTGCAGCGCTTGCCAGCTTTCCTTCGCCAGACGGTTAGTGGTTTCTGATAACCTCGCGTGAACACTCACTTACAACGCAACAGAGACCTCCTCCAAAGACATCACTCAACGTACCATGAGGCTCGAGACCCCATGGAGCCTCTGCCCGGTGGTGTTCCCACCGTGGCCGGCCGAACACCTATTGCCTGCCAGAACTGCGCCAACGCAAAGACGGGTTGCGATAAGAGAGTACCATGCTCGAGATGCGCAGAGAAGAACCTGCCATGCGCAGCTAGATTCGCGAGGAGATCATCCAAGGCTGCCGTCAGAGCCGCCCAGGCCAGTGCCGCATTCCAACAACAGATGATGCCCACCGTTCCTCAACCACCACCAGCCCAGCCAGTCGCCTTCATGGATCTGGACCCGACCCTGCCCAAGCAAGATTCTCCTGGAAAGATGTCGACGGGATCGCCCATCACGACCATGGACCCTCGCATGGTCGAGGCACAAATGAAGAAGAGCTCTCCTCCTCAATCACACAGCAGCCCCAACGAGTTCCCCTCACCTCACAGCAGGATCGAAGGCCTCGATGAGTTCATGCAGCTCAACAACGACTTCATCATACCCGAGACCAACTACCAAGACATGATGGTGTGGCCCGAGTATCCCTTGGAGCTTGACATGTACAACCAGGTGCCCATCTCGCGCCCTGACATGACGATGCCGAGTTTCACTGAGCTGAGCGACTTGTCCTCGACCTCAGCTTCAGAGCCCATGACCGCCTCGTCATCGCGGGGATCCATTCACACCAGGAGTACCAGCATCATGTCCACTGCTGACTTCGACACGACAATGAAGCCGGCAGAGCCTGTCATGGGGATGATGAACGACTCGATGATTCCTGAGTTCGAGGTTGTTATCGCCGCCGAAGATTCATGGCCTCTCGCTCGCTGCAATCCCCCCATCTACTCTGGTACTTGCCCGCGAACCGCAATCGTCCACCTCGAGTGCCTCGAGCGCAAGTCGAAGGAAGACAGTACCTGGAGCTCTCTGGAGAAGTACTTGGAGAACGTCGATTGGGATGCGACGGATGCTTCTGTCGTCCCTCTTACCTCGCGCACCCGCGACCGGATGCTGGCCATCACGCAGTCGTTCCTCCAAAAGGCGCTCGAGATCCATCGCAGTGGCCTCAACAACGGGTACTCCAAGACCGGTTACGCCACCCCCAGCGAGTTCAACTTCCTCGTCCTGCCTCCTACTAAGATCCTGGAGTACTTCCTCCGCAGCTACGTCCGTAGCCTCCACTACTACTACCCTCTCATCGTCGCTGGATGCGTCGACCCTAACGAGATGCTTCTGAACAACCAAGCGTCAACTCTGCTTGTCCTCTTGATGATTGCACAGGGTGCGTCGCACGTGCCGAGCGCCGAGGCCAGATATCTCGCCGCCGGTCTGACAGAAACCTGTCGCATTTCGCTCTTCGACATCATCGAGAAGGACGTTGAGCTCTCAGCTGACCCGATCGCCCTTCGATGCGCTCTTCTCTTCACCTTGCTCGGTGCTTGGAGTGGCGACAAGTGGTTGATGGACATCTCGATGGGACAGAGGGGAATGTACCTGTCGGTAAGCAGCCACAGCCTTCTCCTCAACCAATGTATGCACATGCTGACATGATTATAGATGCTGAGACACGCTGGCATGTTGGAGCCCCAGCCATCAATGATCCCAACCTTGAACAGCACCACCAGCACCGAACTTCAATGGCGCGCCTGGTTGCATCGCGAGATGCAGAACAGGCTGGTCTACAACTGGGTTATGGCCGACCAAGAGCTTAGTCTCTTCCATGATACCCCGCCTCAGCTAGCCATCACGGATCTTCAGTGCCCTCTGCCCAGTCCTGAGTCGTTATGGCTCTCCTCAAACTCTGAGCAATGGTTTGCCAACGTGCAGAACCTTTACGGCTGCACCGCCAACGTCAACCCCCAGTTGCTCTCCAGCCCGTCCCTCACTCCCTCATTGTGTGAGCTCTTCCAGGACTTCATTCACGACAACCTTTCTCGCCGCCAGGGCAGCCTGTCTCCTCAGCAGCTTCGCCTTCTCCTCCACCCTCTGCAGGGCCTGCTTTGCCACTTGAGGCAGATGCTTTCCTGCTTCTCTGACGTCCTCTCTACGCGCCGGGCAACCTCGCGCACTGTCACCAAGGCAAGCACTATGCTTCGCCTCGAAGAGGTCCAAGCACTTTTGCAGAAATGGTACGAGCTCACCATGGTCGCGTCCAAGAGCAACCCCGACTGCGGCACCACCCGCTGCAACTTGGTCCTCTACCATCTCATCTCGCTCAATGCTGTTACAAATTTCCCCGAGATCGAGCGCCTCGCCCGCCGCGACGGCTTTGACGGCTCGTACTGGGAGCTTAGTCTGCGCCACAAGCGCTGCGTCTACAACCGCGAGGAGGCCATCTTCCACAGCGGCCAAGTCCTTCGCCTCCTGCGCTCTATGCCTGCCGACCGTCGCCCGTGCTGGTGGCCCGCTGGTGTCTACCGTGCCACCCTCATTCTCTGGGCCGATAGCATCGCCCGCCTTGACCCCAACTTCCAAAAGGCGCAGCAGGCTTCTCAGGCCCCAGGCTCATCTTCCCCCGCCTCTCAACACCAGGCTCAGAGCCCCGAACAGCTCAGCGGCGCTGGCGCCTCAAATGCGGCTACAAGCTCACAGTCTCATGGCAGCGGCAACATCGTCGCCATCGACCAAGTCACGCCTGAGGACCCGGCAGTTATCTCTTACCTCTGGAGCGGAGGAGATGGTGTGGCGGTCCTCACACGCCGCGACGGCACCACCATGGGCTTGGACAAGCCATCCGAGGTTATCGGATACGGTGTCATGTCCATCGAGGAAGGTGTTACCTGCCGCATCGGCGACGGTATCAAGCGCAAGCTCATCACCCTTAACAACAACTGGAACGTCACCGATCTCAGTGCCACAACCGCATGAGGTGTCACTCCTTTCATTCACACTTCATCCATCCATTCCTTTTAATGCCCCATACAAAAAGTGGTCTTTACTTCTTCTCATGTCATTTCTATCTTGTCTAACACATACACTCTGGATATATGGATCATGTTGATACTTTGTTGGTGGTGGGCTTTCACTTCTTTCCCACCTGTACAATCTTCTGTTGCTTCACTGGCGTCTACGGCCTTAACGACACACATTGCGCGCATTTTCGGGGAACCAACTCGATGCATGCCTCTGCAAAGCAAGCATTGCCTCATCTGATGAAAAGGGGGAAACACACACACACTAAGGGTTAGCGGCGTTTTGCAGATAACGCAACGACGAAGTTTGATTTGAGGATTCAACATTTCCATTGTATTTGCTTGGGAAACTTCGGATCAAATAGATACCTCGGGCCACTGGTCACGATAAGGGAGGGCCTTCACTTCTGAAAGCATCATGTATGTTAGTTGTCGATGCAAAAAACAATTTGCACCAATCTACAAGCTTTAACTTGTCAAATCCAGCCTCGCTGTGAGTGACGCGTGTGAGCGATAAAATCACCAGTTTGTGTGCCGTGATAGGCGCAGCGGATGAAGTCTGTCGCATGGAAAATCTCATGTGGTACACCTCTTCGTGCCTGGCTTACACATGCGCGGCGTGATCAAAAATCAACATTGCACACAATCGCAACCAAGGACGGGAGTTGGGATGAAAACCGCATAAGTCGACGTTTGAAATCTCGAGTGGGAGGGACATGTGACATGCGTGATGGGCAACTTAAATCTCGTGATTCTCATGGCTTCGAGGGCATGCAACGCAGAAGCCAAAACATGTGAAGAATTGCGAAAATGCTCGGTTTCTGTTCGCCTTCAAACCGCACAACCTGGTCTAGCAAACTTGATCTAGAAAGTCCTCCCGAGGAACGGCAGATGGGTGAGCAGGGAGGGAGGATGTCCTTTGTTGAACCACACCACTTGCCCCTTTTTTTTTCTTCATGTGCCGCCCCGTCCTTGCTGCTGAACCTTTTGATGAATTATCGGCAAGTCCGCGCGCGGAATAGTCATCCGACGTTTTTTTCTGTGTCTCGTTCTTTTATTTTCTGTCCTTGCGAACCAGTCTGCTGGGACGTGTCGGGGAGGTCGGGTGGGAGGGCCAGAACAAGGACGCCGCGGGATTCGGGGCCTCTTCAAGGGACGAGGGCAGTTGCGAGTTGGAGGGGGCCCCTGGTTCGCTGCCAACTCCCGCCATCCTAGGAAGGGGAAAAATACAAGCAGTTGACAAGGTAGAGGGTTGTCCACCCCTTCTACCAAACATGGTGATGCCCACGAGGGGAACATCACCCGAGACTGGGGACTCGTTGTTTGCCTGCTTGAGGGACGGGAGCTAAACAAGGGAGATCTGCAGAGCAGACACGCATGACAAGCATTGGACAAGGCACCGGGGGGCCTGTGGGTGTGGTGTGGTGTGGTAAGGTGAGGTAGGTGTGGATGTGGCAGCAGGTGGACGTCACCGCAGCAGTCTGGGCGTTTTGACGGTCGTGACATGCGCGAGCGCCCAGGACAACTATGGCATTGTGCGTTTTTGTTTGGTTTCTTCGCCTTTTCATGGCGAGCGGAGCAGACATGACCGCGGGGCGCGGAGCTGGGGATTTACTCAACGCCATCTGTGCTCCTGGCGATGTCCCGGGACGGCCGGGTGCTTACAGCGGGAGATGGACAGCAAACGTGGGAGATGGCGGGATTGTAAGCGGCGTTTTTTGGTTGAGGTTGCACGGCAGAGCGGTCACACAACCTACACCTACCTTACACTTACACAGTCAGAAACATGAGTACATGTGCATACACTCGCACAAGACGGCAAGAGCGCCCACACCGAGAACCCCGAGACCGACGAACGCATGCTGCGTGCGTGTGTGTGTGTGTGTGTGCCGCCCCGAAGAAAGCCCCGATTCGAGTGGTTCGACTACGAAGGGGTTCTTAGTAACTTGTGTGTTTCACAAGATGGACAGGAAGGTAAAAGGTGGCTCTGGTTTCTCGATTCAGGCATGTCGGCGCGGCAGTTCCAGGAGCGGTCTCCGTCTTCAGCCCGCAACCGCATCATTTCGTCCCGTCTTTTTTTGGGTAGTGGCGTAAGATGCGGTAAGGGGAAGGAGAATAAGATTCATGATAGACAGGGCGGGCGGCGCGCGTAGGTCGGCTTTTCCGTATAAACTTGACTTGACGGGGGGGATGGGTGGATGGATTGGTGGAGGGCGCGTTGCTTCCCATGACAAACCCGAAGTGTTTTGACAGAGTCTTTTTTGACGTGAAGGGTGACTTGACAAAGTTAGTGCAGAGGTGTGTGTGTGCCCGGGTTCTCTTGATAAGAGACGACCGCACCCGCGGCAAATAGCTAGGATGGGCAGCGGGCAGGAGGAATAGTCCGGCCCGAGGTTGGACCTGGTCCGGATTTAAACTCCGGTGCGGGCGGGAAGGACTTTTAGGGAAAACCAGGGGGAAACTCACATCCCGCCCTGTGTGTGGCATCTTCGTCCGATGTCTACAAGGTTGATGTAGTTCGGGTTTGACGTTACGAACTCGGCAAAGCGGGGAGAGAGAGAGGGCCAGGGAAACAAAAGCACGCACCAGCCAAGGGGACGGAGGGCGGAGGGAGGACTCTCGGGTCCCTGTGTTCACAGTTATTCTTCCAGGGTTACAAGGGCCAACGGGCGGGGAGAGGGGAGGGGAGCGGGGCCCACATCTTGCCGGATGGGCGAGTAGGGTCGTCCGGAGAGCGGCAGACAGCAAGAAACGTTGCGTCCCTCGCATTCGGTGTTAGACCATTGGACGGTTTCGCGACGTGTTCGGTGACGGGCGGCTGGCGCGGCCCTACACACCGAGATGGTGGGGGCGTACCGCGGGAAGGGCCTTTTAAGCTTGATGAGAAGTCTCTTTTGCTCTTTCTGCTCACCGACGCTGTCCTTGTTGAAGATCACCATGGTTCTCCTTGGCCCCCGTGGGTGGTGGTTCGAGTCGTGGTGTTGTGTTGTTTTCTCGGGATGCTTTCGTATTCTGCGACTTTGGCTGGCACATGATGCGTGTGGAGGATGTTGGTGAACGTCACGGGGCCGTCGACAGAGGGGTCTCGGAGCCGACGGATGGGCCGCGACTTACACTGTTGTGAGGTTTCGAAAGCGATAGCGACGGGTTCGGTTGGTGATTAGTCTGAACGGAATACGAGATGGTTCACGCAGCGTCTGAATCCGCCGTTCTTACAGACTGGGACCGTTGTCAATAACGGCACAAGTCCGTTCTTCCTCCAATATCAAAGGAAGTATAGGGCCCCGAACTGACTGCCCGAACGAGACAAAGTTGTTCTAGGGCTGGCGAAGGGCCACCAGTTCTACGGGAGAGGGTGGGCCAGCTGCATGTTTACTTATACCCATGACGCAGACGTGCTAGGGACGGTCCGCTGAGCGACGACAAATCCTAGGCCCCATAGCACAGCCAATGAAACACGAATACGGCCGTCTTCGAGAAGATGGTTCCCGCAAGCCTGCAATGGGCACAAAGATCGTGATCGCGTCCCGATCGTTCTTGGCTGAATCACCGATGACTTGTCTGATGGAGAATGATGGGTTTTCGGACAGCCATTCGTTCTCAATGTTGGCTCTTATTTTCTGCCCAACATGAGCACAAGTTCAGTCTAGCAACCCGATTGGAGAACCTCAAGTCGCGGGTGGGATGTCTCGGTGCAGGGCCCAGCCCAAGTGTCTATCAAACTCTCTGCCATAGCTCCTGGCCTATCCCCCTTATCGACATGGGAATAGGTAAAACACGTCAACCTTGTCATACGAAGCCAAGTACAAGCCTCTCTGCTGTTTTCTTGGCGACGAAAATCACCTCGGCCCGTCGAAGTTGAAGCCGAGGCCGAGGCAGGGTCGATGCGCCGCCCATCTTGCATGTTTCCGGATCTGCGACCCGGCGCACAGGAAAGAGAAGATTTGGCAGCGGCAGCGCGCATCTGGGCGCTAAGACATGTGTGAGATGAGCGGCCCTGCGCTGTTGGTACTACCCGCCGCAGTTCGCCTTTTCGTCGGCGGCGAGTTCGTCTCCCGACAGCTCGGGACGCGAGATGTGATGGAATGATCCGTGGGAGATGCGTTGCTCTTTGGGACGAACAAGCTGCATGAAGCTTTGTTCGTAGTATAGAGGCCATTTTGAGGCTCGAGTCTTAACGAACATGATCATCTCTACCTGCCCCTGGCTTTTCATACCGTTCAGGGGTATTCTGATGTTGTGAGTTCGATGTCAGATATGGAGCTCGAGACCGAGAGCCCTCGCTAGTCGCCTTTCGGCCGTTTCATTCACATATTAGTAAACCGGCTGTCAACTTGACAGGCCATTGAGAAGATGCCACCGATTAGTCGAGAATTTTGATATCGAATGGGGCCCAGTAGGAAACATCTTCATGGTGGCGCGTCACCTACAATTGACCTTTAAGATAAGCAGCCTTTCCCAAGAGATCCAATTACCCGAATAATAAGAGTCTATTGTATAATGGCATTTGAACAACTTACATCCAAAGAAATCTAGATTTCTTTGAAGGAAGAGTATTCAAGAATTACATAATCGTGTACTTGGCCATATATCTGGCCGCTGACTAAGGTGAGCCCGACATCTCGCCCATCTCGGACGGCACGAACTCCCGAACCAAGCTCCCAGCCGCAGACGTTCGTGCCTTCGCGCTTGAGGCAATCGACGCGACTCAGACAATCAAGACACATTTGACGGACAGCCGTTGCCAAAGTCACGGGATTTGCAGCTCTGTGGATTTGGTCGCCATACACCTGCCCCTGGACAGGCAACCGGACCTCCGTTGGGGGCGGGGGCAGGGCCCCTTCGCGGAGAGGGACGGCCGGGGTGGGGCCACCGAGTGTGAGTCCCTGACGCCGCGCGCCCTCGCCCTGACGTTGGTCCCCCAAGGTACCCGGTGGCTAGCTCTGCCCGCTACCT